ACTTGCAGGTCTGTGGCGCTGGTTCTTGCCTTCGTCTTCCTTGGCAAGAGAGTGGGTAGATATTCTCGCAGCCAACGTTGCCAGAAGTGGTCAGCAAGCCGCTGCGTGGCCTTCCATGTAGATCTGCCCACGAGTTCGTTGTCGTCGAAGCTGCCGATTCTCGCTGCGCCGCAGGACCGCTCGATGAGGAAGTGGTTCGGTGTTAGTGCTTCTTCTTCAAGGTTCTCAGAGAGGTCGAGAGTTGACTATGTGCTCGGCCTCTAGGAGGAGAGTGTGGAGTTCCTCCTCTCGTGGATACTTTTCGTAAAGTGTGGCGTCTAGTGCGGTCTTGACTGATCGCACCAAACATTCCCAGGCGCCACCCATATTTGGTGCACCTGGAGGGATGAATTTCCATTGCACGCCGATCTTCTCTGCTTCTGAGTTGAGGTCTTCTTGCTGCAAGGTGTCGAACGCTTCTTTTATTTCTTTGTTGGCGACGACGAAGTTAGTCCCATTGTCGCTGTTGTAGATTTTCTTAGGCATCCCTCTTCTTGCGGCGAATCGTTGCAGCGCCATGATCATGCTGTCGTTGGAGAGCGAAGGAGTTAGCTCAATGTGCACAACCCTTGTTGTGAGGCATATAAATAGAGCCCCCCATCTCTTTTCGTGCCGTCTTGCCACGGTAATTGTCATCGGGCCGAAGTAGTCCACGCCCGTGCACGTAAAAGGAGGATATCCGTACATCAGCCTTTCCGCCGGTAAGTTGCTTTCTCTTGTTCCCTGTTTTGCACCATTGACATTGATGCTGAACTGCCTAGATTGCTGACCTTAGACCGAGTACCCAGAAGCGTTGTCGTATTTCATTCATCACCGTCGCGTGATTTCCATGATTGAAGCGGCAGTGGAATTCTTCTATGATGAGTTGTGTTGTCTTGCCCTTGCTGTCGAGCACGATGGGTCATTTGTAGTACATGGTTACACCCTGTATCGCGTCGATTCTTCCTTTTAGCCGCAGGAGACCCTCTTCTAGTACTACGTTGAGCTTTTTCAATTTACTGCTGCCCTCTAATTGCTTCCCTTGCTGAAGGCGCTTGATGTCTTCTCTGAAACTGTTGTCTTGGCTTCTTTTCAGCAAAAGAGATTCAGCTTTCTCGAGTTGTTCGGTATCCATCGGTATATATTTCCTTTCTGTTATTTTTGAAGATCTGTGTTGCTTTTCTACAGTCTTCGTTCCTTTTCTTTGTGTCATTTTCCAGGTGGGATCATTTTTGCAGACGTTGACCTTCTCCCTTTTTCTGCAGAGTTGTAAGAACTGCAGTACCCTCGCTGTGGCTCGCCAAAGCCTCTTCCATGAAGAGAATCTCTCCGGGTCTGGTAATGGATGAGATGTTTGTGTTGTTGCTGCGACGTCCGCTGCCCTTTCTTCGCCGGTGGTTGTTTTCTTGAAAGTTCTTGGTGCCGGCCAATGTGCCTCTTCTTTTTTCAGGAAGCTTGGTCCGGTGTACCATCGGTGGTTGCAGTTGAAGTCTTCGGGCACGTCGCGTGTTGCGTCATCTGCAGGATTCTGCGCTGTAGGCACCAATCTCCAGTCTTGCTGTTTAGTGAGGTCCTCTATCTCCGCTAAGCGATGAGCCACGAACGTCTTGAAGGTTTCGGGTCTGTTTTTATCCAGGAAAGTACGATGCTGGAGTCTGTCCAAAATGTTTTCTTCGTTACTTTTAGGTCCAATTCTTCTTCAGCGGAATGAACCAGTCTGCTTTCTAGGAGGGCTGCCTGTAGTTTGAGTCTCGGGATGGACACTGGCTTTAGTGGAGTGACTCTCGCCTTTGCTGCCACTAAGCTGACGTGGTAAGTTCCATCTTGCCCTTCTGTCCTCCAATAAACTGCCGCTGCGTACGCCAGCTCACTTGCATCAACGAAAGTGTGTAGCTCCCCCTCGGTGCAATGTGGCGCCAGGCATCTCGGAACTTGCAGGCCTTGGAGCAGCTTCATCTTCTCCAGGTAGGTTTTCCATGCTTCTTTTATTTCGTCATCCCAACCGACGCCACTTCGCCATATGTTCTGAAGCAGCTTCTTGCCTTGGATGAGAACTGGTGATGCTAAACCAAGCAGATCAATGGTCGACATTATTGCGCTGGTAACTTCCCTCTTCGTAGGCACCTTGAGTCCTCTTGCTATTTCTTCTGGTGTATTTCGGAGATTTGCCCTGAAGCCGATGGAGTCCCTTTTGGTGAACCAGCGCAGTCCTAATGTCTTCTCTTCCTTCTCGCCTAGGTCTACTTCTGTCTTCTCAATAGTGTCAATCTTCAAGTTAATCTTCACGTCTTGCAGCAGCTCGGGTTGATTTGACGCCCATCCCCTGAGTTCGAAGCCTGCCTTCTTGTGTATGAAGTCCACTTGCGTCGTCACTTTTCTAAAGTCTTCTTCTGATGGAAGCTGTGCAGGTAATCATCCATGTTATGGTTTAGCTCGACCGCCCTTCTGCCTCTGGATACTGCTCTTTGAAGTCCGCTGCGTTTCTGTTATTCACATAGATTGCGGTGATCGGAGATGATGTTGCGCCGAAGATAACTGATGTCATCCTGTACTCCTTCGGAGGCACGTCGCGACGAGCCCCGCGCCACAAAAACCTCAGGCTATCTCTGTCTTCTGGTCGAATGCGAACTTGAAGAAACATTTCTTTGATATCGGCTGCCACAGCTAGCGGGCCCTGTTGAAACCTTAGTAGTATCACGAAGAGCGACTGTAGTAGATCTGGTCCTGGCAGTAGAGCATCGTTGAGGCTTCTTCCCTTTGACTTGGCTGCAGCGTCAAAGACGATCCTTATCTTTTTCTTTAGGGGATGTAATACGAAGAAGTGAGGGAGATACCATTTCTTCTTGGAGTACTTTTGTGTCATAGGTGCTTCTTTTGCATACTTGCTGTCGATAAGATGCTGGATCTGCTTGATATATTCTGCCTTCAGCTGAGGGTCCTTATCCATCTTCTTTTCAATATTGAACAACCGGTTCTTTGCAGACGAGTAGCTCTCAGGCATCTGTTCATCTTCATTTTTCCATAAGAGTCCATCTTCGAATCGTCCATCTTCAAGTCTTCTGCAGGTTTTCTCTAGGATGGCGAGTGCTCTTCCTTCTGAGTCTGTGGTGGGTCTTCGTGGTTGCACACCAAGTACCTTGCCGCCACAGCCTCGATTGCAAAGTGGTCCTTGATGGCTTGATGCATCTCCTCATCTGGTGTGCTGACATGTAGACACGTGTTCATGAAGTGTACTACTCTTACAGCCCCGGTGTCTGATCCGTGGAGCACCCATCCAAGCCCTGTCCTTGAAGCAACTGGTTCTCCTCGTTTCCCTTTTCTTACTTCTTGAGTCACTATCAGCTCCCAGTTGTTTGACCGATGAGCAGCTGTGGTGATTCCCCTTTATAATAAAGAGAGTTGGCAATCTTCTTCAAATGTTGGCATTCTTCTATCCTTTTGTTCTCTAGAAACTGTGGTGCAAGATTCAGCTCGTTGATAGTTCGGACTCTCTTCAAGGTCTTCTTGCTTCCTTGATAAACCCCTTCACTACAAGGTCCAGGGTCTGAGAATCCTTCTTCTCGATTTGCCTGCCTCCTACTGTCTCGATGACCAGCTCCTATTTGTTGTCTTGAGCGCCGACTTCTTCTGCCACCTTTGCATCAGTAAGCGACATTGTCGAACCCTTCATCCATGAGGGCCAATATTCTTTTGGATCCTTTTGGCCCGAAGACTTCTACTGGAACTATCTTCAGGTATGCCCTTTGCGTTCTTGACTGCATTCACTGATGTTAGGAAGCTTGCTACTTTTTCTTGTGTTTCCGCCTTCTTCTCTCCCGAGGTCCTGTTTTCTGATTCGACGTGCAGCAAATGATGATGCCACCTCTTGCATTCCTTACATGGTGGTTTCTTACTGCTCTCCTTTCGATGTTTTCCTTGAAGACATTTGAAGCAAACGTGATTTTTCTTTACTGTTGCCCATCGATCTTGCACTGAAGTCTTTTGGAACTTCTGGCAGTCGACGAGGAAGTGTCCACCTTGACACATAGGACAAGTCTTTTCTGTTGACTTGTTTCTTTTTCTTTAAATTCCTTTTCCCTCATAGAATGCGTCGCTTGTTGATGAGTTCTTCTGAACCCGCTCTTTTCTTCTGAGGTCGCGAAGGCTCCACATTTGTCTGCTTCGCTATTCAGGAACTTGGAGACCATCGTCAGGTCGGAGAACTCGCCCTCTTGTGTTGCTGCCGTAAAGTCATACCATCGGAACTTCAGGATTGTAGATTTTTTTTCCATAATTTGCTTTACCATTTCAGGTGAATGCAGGTACTGCGGTTTCTTCAAACCCTTTATTGCTGCTACGCTGTTGTTGATTTGGCTCGCAAAGACGCATATATCTCTTGGATTTTCGGAAATCTTTGGTAAGCCCTGACTTTGCCAATTTAGCCAGCACCAGCGCATCAGGTCTTCCATATCGTCTCCTGAGGGCCTGCATTACTTCCAATGGAGAGGCTTCAGAGTACAGCAGGCTCTTGATAGCTTCTCTTGCGTTGCCCTTTAGTGCTCTTCTTAGTCGAGCAATGTTTTGGACTGCGTTGAACATCGGGGCGGTATCTTCGTAGACCACCTTGAAGGCCAACCACTCGCTGCTGTTGCCATCGAAGTAGGGTAGCTCGTGGATATACTTCGGCTGAGCTACTGGTCCTCCTCTTGTGGTAAGGGCTTCCTTCAATGCTATTGTCAGTGCTTTAATTTCGCTCGTATCTTTTTTCGTTGAGGAGTTCTCTTCAGGCTTCACATTTGGCTCTTCGGGAGGGTTCTAACCTCGTTGCTCGTGTTTTCCCATGTTGTTTTCTTCCATTACTGATGTCTCGATCCAGTTCTGCACCTGTGCTGTTCTGTCTTCCTGGACTTTATTCACGGAGTCCTCCTCTTCACATTGTGCCAGCTCTAAACTGACGCGTGCTAGCTTCGCCGCAGTTTGAGCTTGCTTCAGCTCCATGCGTGCTAATTCTTCTCTGGCTTCCCCTTCCTGTCTCCTGGCTGAGGAGCTCGTGGTCTTAATGGACCTGGCGCGACGACTAAACCCTTTGGCTTAAGGTTTGTGGCAGAGCCATTAACTCCCTTGTCTGGAATATTCTCTGGAGTCTTCTTGGTCGTCTCCTTCTGTGCGGCTTCATCCATCTGTCCGTTATCCTCGAACGCCGCCGTGGTGGCAGTTGCAACCATGGTCTTTGTCATGGTGATATCCTTTGTGGTCGTAGTGCCTGAAGAATCTGACGTAGTTGCTGTTCCTAATGATGCTGACGCTGACGCAGACGTGACCCCTTGAACTTGAATGCAGGGACGTGATCCGGCTCTTGAACGGATTCTTCTATATACTTCTAGCAGGGATCCGGATATCGAAGGACCAACTGTTTCGGACGGCAGGGACACGTCCAGTGCCCGCAGTTGCCCTGGAACAATCTCCCACTTGATGACGTACGTTCCTTGTATAGTGCTGGTGACGCACGTCCCACGCACCCCTGAATGCGTATGTATAATACGACCCCACTGGGACCTCGAGAGAGAGAGAGATAGAGAGATAGACGATCAGCCGGGAGGAGGCAATTAAAAAAGTTAATCATTTTGATGTATAATACTCGTTACCGTACCTTAGTACTCTTTATTTATGCCACAAATACATTCAAACTACCTTGTACCGAACGGGTGACCCGGACTCCTTAAATACAAGGATCCCCTGACTTCAGTACACCACAAAACATTGCATTAATTGTTTTAGTTACTTTATGTTTATAAGTATAATATACTTGTGTATATATTTGTGCCTGAGACATAAATATATTTACATTTCTTTTCACTTTCATAATATCTAAAATTTATGTGATGTTAATCATTTTGATGTATAATACTCGTTACTGTACCCTAGTACTCTTTATTTATACCACAAATACCTTCAAACTACCTTGTACCCGAACGGTTGACCCGGAGTCCTTAAATACAAGGATCCCCTAGTTTGGACTTCAGTACACCACAAAACATTGCATTAGTTGTTTTAGTTACTTTATGTTTATAAGTATAACATACTTGTGTATACATTTGTGCCTGAGACATAAATATATTTACATTTCTTTTCACTTTGATAATATCTAAAATTTATGTGATATATAGCAAAGATGTCCACAGTTTGTAGTTGTGCAGTTTGCAGTGATAAAAAATGGAACTTGTACAGTTGTACAGTGTTACATTTGTATAATTGGCAGTGATAACAGGTGGAACTTGTACACCACATGTACACGAAGATTTATTAAGTGATATTAATAACTAATTTAGAAATTCCTTTGTTACTTACATAAATTGCATAGTTTATTTATACAATATACACTCCCAGTTACGAGCGTATCTCTCAATATTTACTTTACTAACGATGTTTGCAAGCACCTTAATTTAACCTGTGAGACAATTAAAGGTAATTGATAGAGAAAAGGTTGTCTTTGTTACCTAAGTCAAGCAAGTAGAAGGATAAAATAAATTTTGTCGTTAATAATAACATTATATTTAAGAAAAAATATGTAAATTGACATATTTATTTGTATTTCTTTAAATTAGTTTTTATCTTATCATATCTTAACGAAAGCAAATTGTTATCTAGTCGAAAGATAGATTCTGGCAAATTATTCGATTTTTTTGCTATACGCAATGTAGACGGTGAAGTGAACTGTTAGGTCCGCATTTAGTTGTCTGATGGCGAAAGTGTGAGAGAGAGTTCACCCATGCAATTCTTGCGCACATTCTTCGAATTATATTAAATGTCGTCCCTCGAAATGCTGGGTACTTTGCGCCTGTGGTTCAAACTTTATGATTGATTTCAACCAAATTATCATAAACAGTAAGGCTCTTAGCACGCCTTTCTCTGAGCTATGGAGCTATATTATGTGTATAGACATAAAATTCCTACGGTAATTTACTAGTTTAAATGACTAGTCCTTCGCTGTTCTTCGTGGAAAATATTGTTCACAGCGTGATCCTACCGCAGGTCAGCTCACTATAAGTGCTGTAGCCATAATTCAGTTTCATTGAGGTTTTACAATTTAAACATATCTTTAGTATTACGGGATTCGACAAAGTCACGCTTGCTTCTATTATATTAAATAGAGATGTGTCTATAAGTATTCATAAGTTTTGAAAATATTATCCTGCTTGAAATAATAAAGCAATAAAGTTTAATACATGAACGCAAAAAGATCTTTCTTTTACACTCTCTTTTATTTTATATTTTACATAAGTAGGTTAACATGCAGCAACGGCGGTGAAGCGTTTCAAAAAACGTGACTTTTTTTAAACACCGCACTAAATTTTTCCAATACGTCGATAAAAAAGTTCTACTTCAATAAAATTATCGATGTAAGTTATAAATTTAAATATGTGCAGTAAAACTGATACTGAATCAACTCTATTTATTATTTTACAAATGTACAACCTTACGCATTAAAGTGGTTACGCGCATTGAATGATTCTTTGTTAAAATCCCCGTTTCATTAACAATTTAAGCGTTACAAATCTCACTCCGTTCTGCGTTTCACAATATGACAGCATAACAATTTATCACTACATTCAGGTGGTCCCAGACGTGGATGCGATGTTGGCCATCAGTCAGCAGTAACAAAGGATAATGTACCGCAATTATATAAACGAGAATTATTTCACTGTCGCCTGAGCACTATAAACATCTGCATTAAGCTTAACATCGCCAGGAAACGAATTACTCTAATAAATATAATGTAACTCATCATTAGTTTTGAGAACAATAAAGAAATTTGAGAATAGACTATAAATAGTTTGGATAATCCAAAAGTGGACGCCTATTGAGCATTTCATTTAAGTTTAATGAAAAAAATAAATTGTATTCCTGACTTAAAATATATATTTTGACGTGTTTTAAATTTAGCGCTCTATTATTTTAACAGGTATTATCATCTACTAGGAAAAAAATAATGATGTTTACCAAAATTAATCAATTTCAAAAAGTATGAAATCGATATAGGCTGTATAGCACATATTTTGTAATTTATCGAGGGCTAAAATAAAAATGAAAGCGCCTTTAATTTTTTAATAGCAATAAAACTTATAAATATTTTATAATCATTTTATTATAAAAACTACTCCTACTAGGCTATTGATATGAAATAAGGGGACCAGTCGATATATTTCTGAAGCTATTAAAAAAAACCGGTCTCGATATATCAAATTTTTATGGAGTTATCGTTACCACATCACAAAATCAATATCCGGACTAATCCGGATGTACACCTAAGAATTTTTCAAACCGTTTTTTTTAAGTACCAATATAGAGTGATTTTTTTAGAAAAATAATAGATGGATTAAGTAGAGTGTTTTCTTGATATACGGTTACTCATATTATTGTATAAGTGCAATATGGTTATGATAGAGGGATTTTAAAACCATAAATTTGCTTGAGCTTGACGTTTCGAGGTTTGAGGCGTGTAATGAAGTAAGAAAAACATATTAAATGCATGATAACGTAGTAAGCTATTATTATTGACTGTGTAGTGGCGATGTAAGAATATCTACTTTCCCATATCGTCCTGTGGGTGTCTCTACTCGTTTATCGTTATTTTCTTATGGTGCCTATACCCGACTTACGAGTATATACCATTTAACTATGAAAGAAATTCAAAACTAACACAATCAGACTCAGAGTACTGATGTGAAAAATAAAGGGGGACGCCCATTTTCGGCTATGGAACGCCCAACAATGTGAATTTGTTAAAAATTATATCTTTATTTATGGTTATGAATCGCGGTATTCATTTATCCTCAAACAATGGGAATATTTTTGCACAAATTAAAAGTACCGGAAACATAATAATAAAAATTAGGTAAATCATTATGTCATTAGTTTGTGAATAAAAAAAAGTGTTGCCAATCACAAAACACTTTTTCGATCGATTATTTACGGTGTCATCATTACAGTGCTAATATAATTTTTAAATAATTATGATGTTACGATAATTAAACAAGCTAATTACTAGCTGATTTCCAATGAATTAACAAATGCTACGGCACAATTTAACTGTTAATCTTAACCGATCTTCTTGAAAACAGATAAGAACTGTTATTCTTATCTGTTTTAAAGAAGATCGGTTAAGTTATTCTTATCTGTTTATAACAATACATTTAAAATAGAATCATGTAATGGTAACGAAACAAGTTAGTTTCCAGCTGATTTACCATGAATCCTTTAACCTTTTGAGCGCAAAAGTCGCCTATACTTGACCAACACCTGCGGGCCCTGAGCGCCAACGACGTCTATAGTTGACAAAAAACCCGGCTCCGAAAAATATGAAATATAGATATTGGAAAATTATTACAGGTGTTTTAATTCCACACTCCTCAAAATAGGAATAACCCAGCAACATGTGAGTATAAAAAACAAGTCTTCTAGAACCACAAGTACTAAGAAACATTGAACTAATAAAAATGGATTTTTATCTAAGCAAATACTATGTCCAGCACGCCAAAGTCGTCTATGGTTGACCGCTAGTGTCAAACGCGGGAGGCATAGATTTCTTGAAAACTATCCAAAATTCAGCTCAATGGTGTTTTTTTTTCTATTATTATTGATATTTGAATAAAATTAAAGGTTAGAAACATAAAACTATAATTAGCACATGAATAAAAATGTTATCAGATTATCTTCACATAATAAATCTAATATCTCAACTCTAGCGCATCTTTAGCGCGTCATCGAAAATCAGTTCACTGGGCACCGTGATCAAGGATAGACGACACCCTGATGACGTCATAAGTGATTACCGAGAAAAAGTAGAGCAATGCAACATGAACGATTCCTCAGAACTCATTCGGATTTTGGAAAGCGTCGATGATGATGAATTTTGATTTTTGATTGATGAATTGAATTTTTGATTGATTGGTGAACAAATATGTTTATTTATTCCATGACCAAGATTTTAGTATTATACGGCTGATTTACCTAGTGCGAATAATTATATACAATTGTTGATTAATGAATAATTATGTACCTTCTTTAATAATAATACAAAATTACAATTAATGTTTTTTTTTACTTAGGGTGTGAAGAGCAATTTTTCATTTTGTGTTGTGCCATTTTCTTTCTCAGTCTCAAAATCATCTAGCAGAATCAGCATCATATCAAATCCCCATTTTCATAAGAGTGTAAGACTTTTCTTCTGTGCGTC